ATAAAAAAGGAGCAAACTAAATAAGTGAGGATTTAGTCTTGACATGCATTACTTCACAATTAGTGTCTCACATTGTGCTCACATTCAAGTGCTGGAAATTTTACACGCTTTTAGAATAGTAAATAATGAGTTGCTTAATGTCCTTTGAGACTAAGTACTTCGTAAATGTAAATACTGTTCACTTTTTATTGGAAATAGTAAAGGCTATTCCCCATACCAGAAGACATTGTTTGCTTGATATGAGGAGAAAGCATCTTATTTTAAAGTAACAGGAAACTGGAATATTCAAATGTGTAGAAGATTAAGAGAAAATTTAATTTTATAATGCATTGTGGAAAACTTTAAATTTGACTATATAAATACCCATGGGAGCTTTTGTTCAGCATTTTCTGCTTATAAAAATATTTGTTCTGATAACATTCTTTTAGTTTCTTTTTTCTTATTATGGTGATTAACCTGAAAGAGAGTTCATCCTTCTCCCATTTTGAGGATGTCTGCAGTGCTGAAAGTGTGGAGAAATTCACATCAGTTAGCTTTTGAACTGGTATGCAGACGACCTGTGCTGACTGTAATTATTCATCTTGGTCAGGCATCCAAGGCTGAGCATTGAATCCCAATGGTTTTAATAACAATCTTGTGTCTGCATATGCTGTGGAGCCTTTCACTGCCCAAATAGATTTTGTGATGCACTTAATTCTTTTCTATATTTTGCTAAGGTTTTTTCTTTTTAAGACAAAATTTAAATATTCATCTTTTATACTTTTTATGCTATTTTTTAAACTAAAACTAAGCAATTATATCCCTTATCCACACTGGTGTATACAATTTCATATCTACTTTGAAAGAATAAAACAGAAAAGTATAAAAAAGAACACTTTGTCACAAAAATTAAACCATAAAGTGAAATATTCCTTGCTGCTTTGAATATTCAGCTAGATATGCCTTTCAGTGTAATTAATCTTGTTAATTCTGTAAGATTCATTGTGTAAAGAAATTTAAAAAATGCATTATTAATTTTCTATATATTTTTGATAGCCTTTGTTTTCTGTATGCCTGTCACCAAAATTAACTGTGTATCGAACTGCATTCCTTGAGCCTATGCAATTCAAAATACAAAAGTTTTCTCCATGCTTGTCTGACTTTGTTTTGAATATATAGGCTGTGGCTAACAGAACTTTCCTCTGAGACAGAATTTCTGTTTTATGGGAATTTGAGGTGAGTGCTGAAATGGGACTTTGCTTCTGCTATGAGTGGTTGGCTTATTTTAGATATTTTCTGAACTTGTTTTAATTACTTCTGCATTGTCTTTTGATTATCAGTTTATTTGCACTCTGTCCTCACTTACAACTAGCATTGCAGTTTCTTCTCTAAATCCTCAAACGAGGGACTTTCTTAGTTCTTCTGGGGTTATGCAAGTCTGTACATGTTGGTTGTCACAGGAAAACAAATCCTGCCAAAGCTTCTGTAAGGTGGTAATTCTGGTGTGACTTGTTAACATTTCCTTCCTTGACACTCCTGCTGGAATTTCTCTTGCAGGAAATACTTTGTTAATTGGACTTCTCAGAATTAGTGGTTTTATGAACCCTGTCTTCAGCTAGTTTTATGGGGATCTGCTTCTTTCTTTGTCTATTCAAATAACTGACAAACATCAAGCGAGATTTTTATTAGTCTTTCAAAGAATCATCTGCTCAGCTTTGTTCACTTATGAGAGTTGGACAGTGTATAAAGTTGTAACTCCATTTAATGAATGTGAGAGTGATTTGAGAGTACCGTTGGTATTTACAATAACGAGTTCAAAAATATTTTGCTGGAAAAAAATGAAATTTTAAAGTCAAATTGGAAATGATTGTGAGGCTGTACTTGTTTGCTCAGGTAGTGATTTGCTCCTACCTTTAGGTTTTCACTTCATAAAACCTGTCCTGCGACAAGGAAAGCTAAGGCACGTCTGGAAGGCAAGCTGGCAAGGGACGTTAAAAATAACAAAAAAAAATTCTTCAAATACATTAACAGCAAAAGGAAGATCAGGGAGAACGTGGGTCCGCTGGAGGACGGGATGGGCACCTTGGTTACAAATAACACAGAAAAAGCAGAGTTGCTCAATGCCTTCTTTGCTTCGGTGTTTACCAAGGGCAGCCCTTTAGAGCCCCAGGCCCTAGAGACAAGAGAAGAAGCTGGTAGAGAGGAAGACTTGCCCTGGGTAGAGGAAGATTGGGCACCTAAGGAAACTGGATACCCACAAATCCATGGGCCCTGATGGGATGCACCCCAGAGTGCTGCCGGGAGCTTCTCCCTCATCTTTGAAAGATCCTGGAGAACGGGGGCGGTGCCGGAAGACTGGAAGAAGGCCAATGTCATGCCAGTCTTCAAAAAAGGCAAGAAGGAGGACCCAGGCAACTACAGGCCAGTCAGCCTCACCTCCGTCCCCGGAAAAGTGATGGAACGGCTCATACTGGCTGTTGTCTCCAGGCACATGGAGGACAAGAAGGTGCTCAAGAGTAGTCAGCATGGATTCACCAAGGGAAAATCTTGCCTGACTAACCTGATAGCCTTCTATGATGAAATGACCGGCTGGATAGACGAGGGGAGAGCGGTGGATGTCGTCTATCTCGACTTCACCAAGGCTTTTGACACCGTCCCTCACAACATCCTCCTGGGCAAGCTCCGGAAGTGTGGGATAGATGAGTGCACAGTGAGATGGATTAGGAACTGGCTGGATGGCAGAGCTCAGAGGGTGGTGATCAGCGGTGCAGAGTCTAGTTGGAGGCCTGTAGCTAGCGGGGTTCCCCAGGGGTCAGTCCTTGGTCCAGTCCTGTTCAATTTATTCATCAATGACCTGGATGAAGGCACAGAGTGCTCCCTCAGCAAGTTTGCTGATGATACCAAACCGGGAGGAGTAGCTGATACCCCAGAGGGCTGCGCTGCCATCCAGAGGGACCTGGACAGACTGGACAACTGGGCAGCGAAAAACCTCATGCAATTCAACAAGGCCAAGTGCAAGGTCCTGCACCTGGGGAGGAATAACCCCAGACACCAGTACAGGCTGGGGACCGACCTTCTGGAGAGCAGCTCTGCGGAGAAAGACCTGGGTGTCATGGTGGATGACAAGTTGACCATGAGGCAGCAGTGTGCCCTCGTGGCCAAGAAGGCCAATGGGATCCGGGGCTGCATTAAGAAGATCATCTCTAGCAGGTCGAGGGAGGTGATCCTGCCCCTCTACTCAGCCCTGGTGAGGCCACATCTGGAGTACTGTGTCCTGTTCTGGGCTCCACAGTACAAGATGGATGTGGAGCTGCTGGAGAGAGTCCAGCGCAGGGCTACAAGGATGATCAGGGGCCTGGAACATCTGCCCTATGAGGAGAGCACATGAACTTAAGGAAAAATTTCTTAACAGTGAGGGTGACAGAGCACTGGAACAGGCTGCCCAGAGAGGTTGTGGAGTCTCCTTCTCTGGAGATCTTCAAAACCCGCTTGGATGCAGTCCTGCGCCACGTGCTTTAGGTGTCCCTGCGTATGCAGGGAGGTTGGACTAGATGATCTCTAGAGGTCCCTTCCAACCCTAAGCATTCTATGATTCTATGATTCTAGCATTCTATATTTCAATGCATCTTTTGCATTTCCCTGTAGCTTTCAAATTTGAAATGCATTTAAATTTCTCTCCAGTGGTAAGGAGGACTCTAGATGATCTCCCTGGTGATGCTCTTAGAAATATTATGCCATGTTATCCTACGGAATGGAGAAAAAAAGCCCATAACTATATTTCAATGCATCTTTTGCATTTCCCTGTAGCTTTCAAATTTGAAATGCATTTAAATTTCTCTCCAGTGGTAAGGAGGACTCTAGATGATCTCCCTGGTGATGCTCTTAGAAATATTATGCCATGTTATCCTACGGAATGGAGAAAAAAAGCCCATAACAACAGCCTGTATCCTTAGTAGGTCAACTTGCAAGCAGAGGCAACATCTATTGCGAATTAGTGTGCTTTCAATTTTGTTCTGATCACTAAAATTAGGTGCTATTAAGTGATTGTTACTTCCATAGCTTTGATAGGTGTGCATTTTTTTTCTTCATCTGAAGATGGCTGTCTAGCAGGGTAATCCAGGATAAATTCTAAAGGTCAGGCTTAAATAAAAAGTGACTAAAAATATAGATAGGTATTTCTTGCTCTGGTGCTTCTGTGAAATGTAATGGGCATACAACGTCTGTTACTTGTAAGGTCACTTATGCATCGATGGTTGCCTCAGACCATCAGTCTGATGTCTGTGGTGAATTTTTAATAGAGTTTGCACAAGTGCCTAAAAGTCATTCTCCATCTGCTTTCTGTTGTCCATGGTGTAAACTCAGGAGAGGAGCAAGAATTGCAGACCAAAGTCCAGCTTGCTTAGTTATTAGAAAGGCACAGAAACTATTCAAACCACTCTCTCTGAAGTTTATTTTGGTTGGTTGGTTGGTTGGTTTTCATGACTATACTGAAAACTATATTGAAACTATACTGAAGTTGGCAATGCTGGAGATTGTAGTTTGGATTATCACGCTTTGGAAATCAAATACTTCAGCAGGTACTCTGAATATGGTGCCTTTATGATTCTGTGCATCTCCTCCCCTCTTTTTTTCACTGAATATCTAAGGCATTTATAACTGTTGCGTGAAGATATTTGAAATTTGCTTGCATGGGTGAATCATTCTGAGATGAGAGTAACCAGATGTCATGCTCCATTCTTTACAGTTTTGTACATGAAAGTTCTCTTCACTTTTGTCATCCAGATATAAGAAGTGCAGCTGTCAAGATTTTTGTTTTCAGTAACGGTGATCTTAGTGCTATATTTCTGTTCTGATTTGCTTTTGTTAAATTATAAGTCACTTGAGGAACCTGAATCCCTTTTTGTTGATGGATACTTTGTAGCTTAAAGCTTTTCAGAGGTATCTGCAGGGATTTACTGCCTTTAAATATGT